GCACGGCGGATCAGTGCACCACTGGCCAAGAGCAGGATTTGGGGACAGTAACAGCAACAATAAAGATGCAAAAGAAGCCGAACTTGATGGCACTTCTTCCCTTTCCACTGTCCTACTGGCTCGGAGCTTGCCAGAGAGGCCCCACAGGTCTAAAGTCCACCTATCTACAGCCAGGCTCTGCTAAGGAAAGGTCCAAGGGGGGCAGTGAGATTTAATGTGCTAGACTGTAGCCAGAAGTGCCCCTGGAAACGGGCCCTCACCTGGCCGTGGCCACCCCCTTTGCTAGGAGGCCCTGTTCTGCCTCAGTGACAGGATGCAGGAGGCAGAAGCCCGTCTAGTCTGGCCAGGAGAGCAGCCCAGATTTGCTTCAGAGACCTTTAAGTGCTGTCTCCCTGCACTTAACCCCTGCCTGACTACCTCATTCTTTCCAGACAAAGGGGATTTCATGAGTGAGCCCTCATCCAGGGCCGAGAGCATGGCCTCGAGCATTGCAGAAGCCTGAGCTGCCGTCCAGGACTGGTCTTCACGGGGGAGTGGGAGTGGACCAGGTGAGCTGGCCCAGGCCCCGAGTCATTACACTGGCATTTAGGGAGCTGTGGGCTGGGTCCCTAGAGATCCAGACTGTCTGCATCTGGGGGGTAAGGGAGTGGGTAGGTAAGGAGCTCACTCATGGTCACATGTGCTGGTGCATCTGACTCCCCCCAAAGCCCGTGCTCTTGGCCGCTCGGATGAGCTCAATTCTCTTCCTCCTCCTCCTCCTCCTCCACCACCACCACCACCACCACCACTACCACCACCACCCCTGGCATCAGAGACCTCAGTGAAACCACAAGCTGTTTGTTCCCAGGCAGAGGAAGGAGACATGAAAAACACAGCGACAGGCACCCAGGTCCAGTTATTCCCAGTGTGCCATCACCAACCATTCCAAGCCAGACAGTAAGTAATTGCTCACATGGAGCTGATGAACTTTGCTGAAAAACAAGATGGAGCAATCTTTCCTAAGCTAGTTGGTTTGAGCCTAAGTTGACCATGGACTGAGCCAGAGCACCTTTCTAGATTACAGAGGTAATTTTGAGGACTTCTTTCTCTGTAGCTATCATAGATGCCAGCAAGGACCAAAGAGAAGGAAGAGACAAGTCCCAGGAGTGCACGGTGACCTAAGGACACCTAAGGACACTGCCCATCACCCAGAAGTGGGAACCAGAAAGTATACATGGTTCTTAAGACCCTCCCTTGGGCTGGTGGAATGGTGTCTCTCCAACAAGCATGACTCTGCACGGCCAAGAGTTGGGGCTCCCCCAAGACACATCAGTACCTATGTCACGACTGCCCCCACCACTTCCTTCCTTGAATTCCATGCTGGCATCTCTCTTGAAGTTGAAGTAAACTACAAACTGCTGGCCTCCAATCCCTGCCCCAATCCGGGGAGGGACGTACGGCCAGCTCCAGACATTAATACGTACAGGGAGGAGGACCCAGAACTTGCAGGCGGGAGAGACGGTGTTCCTCCAACACACCCAAACCAGGACAGCAGATGAACTAAATCAAAGCCCCACCAGGAACTCCAGATGGAGGCTGCAAAGATGGCAGCTTCTAGCACATGCTTTTGATTACCAGCGATAAGGTGAGAGCTCTGGGAGCGAAACGCTCCCGCTTCCACCACCCAGCCAAACCTAGGAGCTTCCCCTCCACATCAGACCTCCCCAGGGTGGGTCTTCCCAGGCCAGGACACGCTCCAGGAGCAAGGGCCTACTCTGGAGTTGCATGCCTTTCAAAAGGCACTATACACACACAGCTGAACTTGGAGCTGCCAAATCAGAGTCCAGAACCCATCCACAAACACGCCCCCACCCCCGAAGCACATATCCTCATGGGAAAGCTGCCCTGCCGTCCAGCTACCCCAGGTGGGCATCAAGAAATCCAGGCCTATCCCACGGCCTGCCTGGGGGCCCCTGCCTGCTCACGCGTCTGGGCACGGGACCGTCTATCTGTACGTCTGCAGCGCACGCGCACGCACGCACACAAAACCATGCCCACCAAGCGATCCATCTGTCTCCGAGAGCCGGCTGTCAGAAATGAAAGTACAATCTCCTGGAAGCAAGTCCCAGCCTTCTAAAAATGTGCCGTTTTCCCAGACTGAGGAAACCTGCAGGGGTGGGGTAGGTTTCCCTGCAAGTCCCGAAGGCCTGGGCCCATGGCCTCCCCGGCCAGACCCAAGCTGCAAGGCTGGATTCCAAATGCAGCCAGCGGGCCTGCTCCCAGGGCTCCCACCCACCCGCTCCCCTTCCCTGCAGGAGAGGGAAGGGCCAGCCTCGGAGTCACCCCGGCAGCTCAGGAGGGGAAGGCCTTGGAGCACACCCCCACCCCCACCTCCGAGGCACCACATTTTCACATTTGGCTGTTTTCTCTTTCCCTTCTTCCCTTGCCAAGAGCATCAAGCCCTGGCTCCCGCTCCCGACCTCCCTCCCACCCTAAACTGAGCCCCATTCATTAAGCCCGCTCTCAGCCAGGGCAGGACAGGAAGGAAAACAGCACACAGGGCCTGTGAAAGAGACACTGAGAGAGGTTATTCCAAGGGGGAGGAGGGGGCAGATCCTCGTGGGCGCTCTCACCGCTCTCCACCTTGATGCCCACTTGCCCCCCCTTCCTGAAGCAGGCTCCCACCCTCCAGCCTCTGCTAACCCTTTCCCCGGGGCGGCCTCGTCCCACTCGGCCACAGGCCCTGCCCCATTCAGCCAGGCTGCCACCACAGCCCCCACCAGCCTCATCCTCCAAGGCGGACACACCCAGGCCACCTCCCCTCCCCCCATGGAAAGATCAACTTGGGGAGGAGGAGGTTTGGGCTTGCTCCATTTGCAAAACCCTCGTCCTGGACCAAGGCCATTAAATCTTTTCAGGGGGCACTCTTGCTCCAAAGGGTGTAGCCCCGGGCTTTCTCTGTGCCCATCACCTCCCCTTCTCCTGACACCCCCAAACCACTGGGCACCAACCCAGAAATCAAGTTTCTTCAATTTCCCCCCACAGCACATTATTGATAAACTGCTCCAACTCTGAACAGAAAGAAGAAAGGGCTCAAACTTTGAAGCCTTGGGAATTAGTAAATTAAGAGCGAAAATTCAAAACAAATGCTCTTTCATGTGGAGGCCCCCTGGTCTTTTTCCTTTTGCAGTTTTGCTAAACCATTCGATCCCTTCGCAGACAACCACTCCTCCCTAGCAGCTCCTTAGTAATCTAAATGGTTGCAATTACCTTAGGGGGTGGGGATGGGGGGGGGGAGCGGTTAATCACTGTTTTATACACACACACCCCCTCCCCTTTTCCTTCTAGGACTGGGGGAGCTTCGGGAAGGCAAAGCCAAGCGCCCACCCATCTCCGATGGGGCTGCCTGGGGCGTGCTGTCGTTTGGCTCTCAGGCCGAGGGAGGAGATGCTCGGCCTGGTGTTGTCACTTCCCCCAGCAGAGGAGACAGACAAGATGTTATCAGAAAGACAACCCTTCCGAAAAGCCCCCCCTTTCAAAAGCTACCACTTCCCTTGCTTATTTCATGTGGTTCGAAGGGGCTGGGGCTCCTCCCTACACATTCAGGGTTTAAAAATTAAACCCATCTAACAACATCCTGAGTGTGTTCTTTTGCCCAGACCCTCTCCTCTTCTTGGCCTTCTTTCTTTCAGGAACTTTCTCAGCCTTAGAAAGCAGAAAAGACGCAGTTCACAAGTTCTCCCCGCTCCACCGCTGCGGTCCAGCCCCGTCCTCACACCCGAAGCGCCCCCGCCCCTCTCTGGGCCCCCTCTCCTTCCTGCTCACTCCTCATTAGGAGCTTTGTGTAAACAATACCCTCCCGTCGCAGACAACAGTCGGAGTATATATTGTACTGAAATAAAAACAAACAAGGGTCTTCCTAAAGGCGTCCTAGTCCTTGGCAAGCTCAGTTCCCGGAGGAGAGCCTGGGAGGGGCTGACCGGGATGAGTTGAGCATGACCGTGGCTTGGAGGCATCAGAGGTCACCTCACAGAAGAGGGTACCTCGCAGTCCCCCCTAGAGACAGATTTTACTGCTTCCAGACGAGCTGCCATGATCCTATGCCAGTGTCCCCAAGCAAGAAACAACAAATGCACGGAACTCTGTGGAACTTCTCCCCCACCCCCTCCCCCAGTCTACTTTGCCTCCTGCTTTAGCCAGCTCTCAGAAAATCTAGTGACGGCCATACTGGGGTGGGAAAACCAGGGGGAAACCGATGTCTTCTAAGAAAGAGGAAAATGCTTCCTACTTACATTGCTAATGAGTTTCTCCAAGTTTATGACTCTCTGCTCCTGCCCCTCAGGGACAGTGATGCTCGGGCTCCCCAATGGCCCTCCCTTAACCCTATCATAACCCTCCAGCACTGGCATTCCAGGCCCTCAAGCACACCCATCGACCCTGAGGAAGAAAACCTTCCCTCCGGGGTAGCCCTACGAAGTGTCTAGGGTCTGCAGTGTCTCCATCCTGTGGCTCCCGTGCCCAGACAATGCACTAAGCTAGCCTGGGAAGGAAAACCTGCAAAGCATCAAGGACGTCTATGCAGAACTCCCACACTACACTTGGGATCTGCTTTCAAGTTCCCAAAAGGTGGATCCATCCCCTTCAAGGCACTCGATGCCCTAAGGACAAGTGCAAAAAAAGAGTTTAAACCCATCAACTAATGGACACCCAAGTCTGCAACTGCGAGCCCCTCAAGCCAGTAGCTACTTTCACAATAACCAGGAAACAGCACCCCACCAGTCCGCAGCCGGCCCCCACTTCCTCATCCACGGAGCAGGCCCAGCGTCCTGATGCGTAGGAGACCGCGGAATGACCACCAGCTCAGGGGCCCGAGTCGCCATGGATGCATCCAGTTTAAGCACATAAAAGTGAGAATTAATCCCAGACCAGCTGGGGCGGCAGAAGGCCACCCCCATTCCTCCAGTGTCCAGTCATTTCAAGAGGTCCTGAAACTGCCAGGAAAAGAAGAGAAAATGTCTCACCTGAAAGCCCCCCAGGGGCCAGATAATTCGTTCCCCCTGTTTCAGCGGAGGAAGGCACAGCATCTGGACAGTCTGCTGCGGATTTGAAAAGAGAGAAATAAATAAATACACAAATAAATAAATAAAAACACCAAGATTAATTTTTATGCACATTCTAAACAGCATTAAAGAGAAACCACACATTCCAAACAGCTGACTCCCGCCGCGATGCTGATTATTAATGGTCTGCTCAGGCTTTGCGGCCCATCATATAAGACAGACCACAGCACCTTGTCACCCGTCTGGGCTCTGGGCAGCCAATTAATCATTAGTCAAGTCAGGCTTGATCACAGACTGGCTGGAATTTCTCTTTTATTGCAAATCCCCCATTGAGGAAACCAGGTAGTTCCCAAGGTCAAAGGACGCCTGGGTTCTGTTCTCAACCCCGTTGCTGCCTGCCTACCAACCATCCCAGAGAAGATCAAGGGTGAAGCCTCCTTGCTCAGATCCCGTGGCCTCTCTGCCACTCCCATAGACCAGTCTCTCCCTCATCCTGTGAAAGACAGACTTCCCAGTTCTTTAGATCTTTCTCAAGACTTCCCTTGGGCTGAATGAAGGGCCTTCTTTTTCCTTTTTTTTTTTTTTTTTAGATCTTATTTGGAGAGAGGGAACACGAGTGTGGGGAGGGGCAGATGGAGAAGCAGGCCTCCCCCCCGACCCCCACTGAGCAGGGAGCCCAACGTGGGGCTCGATCCCAGGACCCCGGGATCATGACCTGAGCCGAAGGCAGGCGCTTAACCGACTGAGCCACCCAGGCGCCCCTGCTTTTTCCTTTTTAATTGACGTATAAGAAGTATGGCAAAGCATACAAATCTCAAGAACAACCCGGTGAATCCTACTTGTGTACACACCTGTGTAAAGCCACCACCAGATCAGGACAGAGAACCTTCTCATGAAGGCTCCCAGCCGGAGGGGAAATGTTCTCCCTCCTTCCAGGCCTGGTCCAAACTCCTCATCTCTGGAAACCTTCCCGGGCAGCCCCGGACCTGCAAGGCTCCCGATGCCCTCGGTTCCCATAAAATCTTTCTGGCACCCAGTACTTGGGGTTCCCTTCTGCTGTCTTTGCTGATCTTGTACCTTCAGATCCCGTCTGCCCTAGCTAGACTAGAAGCTTCTCTTCAACATCTGTCACCCCTCAGGTGCTCAGAATGGTGACCTAAATTAAATGTTAACGAGGATAATGACAATTCGGGCTGAGAAACAGACTCGACAACCTCCCTCCAAGCAACTAAACCAAAAAATAATGCCTCCGAACCACAACTAATTAGTCCCATGAAACAAAAACACACAAGACCCTTAAGCTCCGTCATGCACCATTGCCAATGCCAAACTTCCAGAGAGCCACAGAGAAAGGCCGGCTTGGGAAAGGGGCTTCCCAGCTCCGCCCCTAGCACACTAGGTTAGATGGTGCAATTCCAGCCCCCTCAAGCACCCCAGGTCACCAGCAGGATGTCCCTGGGGTACTACCAGTTTCCCACTGGATCCACTTGGCCACACTGGCTGATAGGAACTGAAATGCAAGGGCAGCCCAGAGGCAAGTAGCCCATCAGCAGTCTCCATCTCCCCCCCCGCCAAAAAAGAGGTGGGGGGCTGAGCAGGGCTTACACGGGACCCCAAAACCGCCTCTGGGTTTCTGCCACCGGTTCCTCCAGCTACTAATCCCAGGGACCCCCCCCCCTTCCCCACATTCCCTGGCATTCTCTCTCAGGCTGGAAGAACAACTTTTCAAGAATTCTCACCAGGGGAGGGGGGAGCGCAGGGGCGGCAGCGGTGGCTGGGGAGAGAGAAAAGACTGTGTGTAATCTCATTTTATCAGGGTAAAGTGTAATTCCTAACAGGAATATACAGTTTTACAGGATACACTTAATCAAATGCAAAACAATAGGGGGAGCAGGAAATGGAGCCGCTTGTTAACTGGTGTAGACCCTGCACTTTCTAAACTACTTTGATGGCCTTCACCATGTTCTAGAGATAGGCTTTACCTACCCACACAAGCGGAACACACCCCCACGTTAAACATGATGACTGATACACGGCCACGGCCCCCCGCCTTCCTCCGGCTTTGGCTGGCTGAATCCCAGGGGCCAAGTGTGTGTGTGTTTCAAAGGAAGGGCCCAGCATCTCGGGGCAGAGCTGGGACCACATTCAGGGTGTCAGCCCAGCTCAGATCAAAGGTAAGCCAGCTCCTCACTGGCAACCACAAGCGTTTTTATGAAATGGTGCTCTGCCCTTCTGTAGAGCCTTTGATCTCAGGAGGGATTTACAAACATTAATTAGGCCTCCCTACCACCCCTGTGAAGTAGCAAAATATACCTGTTCGACCCGCACCCGGGTAAACTGAGGCGTCACTGACAGCCCAAGGGGCCACCCAGTGAGCTGGGCCATGCCCAAGAGTTCGGTGCTCATCTTGCCCATCCCACAGCTCTCCCTCCCCAGGCATCCCCAGTCCGTAGTCAGGCCGAGACAGTCCCAGCATCCAGACTGGCCTCGAGCTACCACCAGGCTCATAAAGGTCAAAGAGGCCACCACACCTCCATCCCTCACGCACTAAAAAGCTCCAGCGAGATAGACCTCCAAAGTTAGTGTCTCAGCCTCCGCCTTGTGTCACTGGCTCTCCAGAGCCCAGGCTGCACACACACAGAAGTTCTAGGCCATTCCTGGCTCTCATCCATCGTTAAACATTACCAAGCGCCCAGTAAGTGCTGGGTTCTCTGGAAGGAAACAAGTCCTTCAAAGACACAAACCTGGGGACCAGCCAAGGAATGAGCTGTTCAGAGGGGGTACAAAGGTGAGGGAGCTGGGGATCCCACTTCTCTTACCAAGAAAGAAATGGTTCCAGGAGAGCCCGGATGTTCTGTCAACTTAGTTCTGAGCTTCTTAAGTGGCACCAGGGCCAGAGGAACCCCATCCCCGCTCCCCCAACCACAGCCGTACCCTCAATGTCCCAGCTCTGGCCCCAACCACAACTCAGCCGAACCCTGGGTACAGCACAATCCACCGCATTAGAATCATTCACATTTTTAGGCAGGCACATCATCAGGCCCGTAGAATGAATGAATGAACCAATTAATGAGCAAATGAATGAATCATCTCACTCTTTTAACTCTTTGATCATCTGGACTTAAAGAGATTCAGAAAAGTTAGGAAGCGTGAGTTAAGAGGTAAAAACAGGGCTAGATCCCAGACTTCTCAACTATGCTTCGGAGGCTTGATCCAGCAAATGGGTACTGATCACCTGGGCCCCAGCCTACTCAAGGAGTGTTTCCAGCAACACCCCTCCCACCGCCAGCCATTCAAGCCGTCTACACCATCAGATACAGAGGACACAGGGAGCAGAGCCCACAGAGCAGTCCCCTCAGCATCCATACACCGACTTCTACTTTGAAACAGCATGTTCTTATATCCCTTGTGGAAGGGGAGGGAGTCTTCTTGACTTCGAATAGCCCCAGGTCCCAGCTGTCACCTTGCCCCTAGGTTCAGTTATGTCTAACTTTTTCCTGGAAGTTCCTGCTGGTTTGGGACCACCCAGCACCCAGGTCTACAAAGCGCAGGCCCTACCGGAGGCTACCGCGGGATGGCTTGAACCACAGCAAAATGAGAGCTCCCAGCTTTAAGCCCCGGAGTTCCTCCAAAGGCTGCAGAGGTACCAGGCCCCAGGTCCCTTCCCACCACCTCTTCCAGAGCTGGAGACTTCCCAGAAGGGATTCCCTGAGTTGTGCGACTGGTTAAGATTTTAACAGTTGTCCATTGTAAAACCTTGCGACTGGTTCTCATCTAGTTACCCAAGACCAAAAATCCACCCTAGGGCTCAGACACTTAAGAACACAAGCAGCTGATCTCAATTCCCCAGCCCAGTACTCTCCTTCCATACGGAAGGTTAAGAGGAAAACCTGGGGCAGCATCCCACCTGTGTGGGTAACCTCAAAGCCCCAGCCCCTGCCCTGTCCCCAGCCCCACCATTCCCAGACCTGGCCAGCCGCCAGGGTGTGAGGACAGTTCTTCCATGGGGGGACTTGGCCTGTTACCACCTCCTGTCCCTACACAACAGCGCCTTTTTACATTCCTTTTCTTTCTTTTGTTTTGTTTTAAACAAAACGTTTTGGGTGAGTAACCAGCTGTTTGAGTTTCCGATTGGCAGGTTAATCACTTCCTATTGGCTGATCTGGAAAACCCCCCCCCCCCCGTAGAAATGGCACATTCCTGTCTTTGTGGCTTCTCTGTTTACACACATTTTGCTACCTAATGTCAACACTTGCTAATGAATAAATCTATCACTCCACTCACTGAAAATGAGGTCCTGGCCCAGCAGAAGGACTGCCTGCATCCCGTGAACGGATTTATCCTGGTGTCTCAGCAGGAGACCCAAGACAGCGTGGCTCTCCCTTTCTTTGCTTTTAAGAGGTTTCTGGGCGCATTTATTGACCCCTCCAGCAATCTTGACTCCTGGGGCCAAGGTAGCTGACTGGTCTTTCTCTGGGTTAAGGAACCCCTCCAGATGGTAAGGATACAGAAGTTAAAACCAGAACAGGGCAGAGATGGCCCCTTGTAGGACGAACCTCATGAAAGAACCCCTGGGTCTCGGATGTCAAAGCCCAGTCAATCTACATTCTTTGAGAAAACAGAGCGTTGTGACTTCAGTTAACGTTTGTTACAAATACAGAGAGCCGGTTATCTCCTCATTAATGACCATTTATCTGGTGTTTTGTAAATCGAAAGCAAAATATTATCACATGCTTTGCAGGCACTTATTAGACGGGCACCAGGCAGACAGCAACACCTCCCGCCTTCAGGGAGCGGTGGAGTCCCGGGAGGGCTGGCTGCACAGAGCGGGCTTCGGTTACACCGTTCATTAAAGTATTTAATTTATGACAACGCCCCAGCAGAACTTTTAATTAGTGGGGGGAAAGGCCCAACAGCCAAAACTCATGAGGCGGAAGGACTTGTGGAATTCCAAGAGAGAAATGGGGCCCAACCCTTCACGTCTCCTGAGCCCAGAACCTTGGCAAAACAAAAATGTCACAAGGGTTTGCATTCTTCAGGTACCAGTACGTCGGCCTGAAGTTACAATCAGTACTTTTCAGCTGGTGAATCCTCCTCCCGGCCCCCACTGTGGAAGAAGGGGCTCTAGAGCACCGGGGCCCATCCGGGTTGGCACTCCCAAGCCCCAGATTCGCTGCCCCGCTGCCCCCCAGCCCTGCGGGCTCCATAGGGTGAGCCCCTGCCCTGCCAGCCAGCAGCTGAAAGCAGAGGACCACAACAGGGCTGGTACCAGTCTCAAATGGGCTTTTGCTCTGGCTCCACGCCACCCAGTGACAAAGCAACAGGCAGGCAGAGCTATGCTCAAAACTCATGTAGCCCCTACCAAGAATTCTGAGAAAACCCAGGGCCGATGTGACTTGCAGGTGTCCTCTGCTTCCACTGCCTTGACTTCTTAAATTTTCTAACCTCTTACTTCCAACCAAAGCCTTCTCTGCACCTTTGAAACTGTCTTCCCTCTCATCGAATTATCCATTCTTCTCACTGACTCGCTGGCACAAAGTCTCTGCATTTTCCCATCAACCTGTCCTATTTGGCGCCCGAGACACTCTGCGTGGATCAAATTCCACATGTTAAAGCTGAGCCAACTCTGGTGAGAGTGAAAATACATTAATAAAAAAAGAAAAGGAACAAAACGTAAAGATCATCTAGGAACACCTCTGCAAAAAAGAAAATCTAGAGAGCGAGCCACACACACGCACGCACGCACGCACGCACGCACACACACACCTCCCTCTCCAGCCACAACAAAAACAGAAAAATCCACCAAACTTCCAACAGAGGAAGCCCAGAAATCACCTCGGGGCAAGCCCTGCGCCTCCCCAAAGCCGCTGCCTCGACTTAAAAATCCGCGTTCTAGAGGCTCTGTTTCTAACTTAAGATAGGAAGGGTATTTTTAAAAATCATCCACTCACCAGTTGGTTTGAGAAAATCCATCGGGTATCTGGAGTAAGGAGGAGGGGGAGACTCTGGAATTAAAAAAGTAAGAGAAAATAAAGGCCGAGCCATGAGAAAGAGAGATAGAAACTTATGATAACAGAGGCATTCTTTTAGCCCAACTGTTTGTCTTAGCTGTGGGGGTTGGAGGCAGGGCCGCGAGGCGGTGATTGCCTTGATATTTAGCTGTCAGATAAACAAAAGAGGCCGCCTGGCGCCAGCCTCGCCGCTCCGCTCCTCCACGTCTGCAGCCGCCGCCGCCGCCGCCGCCGCCGCCGCCGCCGCGCTCCGCCGGCCCCGCTGGAAAGCACCGGCTCGGCCCGGGCCGCGCACTTCCCAGTTCACGCGGCGGGGAGCGACAAAACCCCCTCCCTGTCCCCCGACCCTTCAGAGCCCGCTCCCGCCGCCCCCCCCGTAGCCGGGGGCGCAATTCCCCCCTCGCGCCCCGCCCCCCCCGCCGCCGCGCACCCGCGCTGAAACTCGGGGATCCCCTTTCCCAGCCCACCCGGGGGACGCGCCCCAAGTGCGCTGGTGAACTTGGGAGGATCTGCGGGAGCCCGAGGCACATCCCCCGCCGCGCACAGAGACTTGGAGAAACGGGAAGCGGGGGAGGAGGCTGAGACAGGATCGAGCGAGGGAGGCTGGGGTCTCAGAAGCGAAGCCCAGGCCCCGGCGCAGTAACGGGCGACCAAGGAAGGCTCGGAGGAGCTGGGGACAGACCATCCTGGAGTCAAGTCTGTGCTTTACTGTACTGGAAGAAAGGAAGAAGTTGGGGACACCCGACTTCTGACCGCTGGCTCTTTTCCAACCTGGCTGGCGGACTTGAGAGGAGATACCCAGTTGGGCCTCCCATCCTACCCCTCTTTGCCCCAAGACCCCAGGGCTGCGCGGCCAGGGAGTATCCCGACGTGACTCTCATTTACTGAAGGCACAGACACTTCCAGCCTTTACGACTCGCTTCTCCCAACCTTCCTTGGCGGGCTTGGACCGAATCCAACTCGGCCACACACCTCAACGCTTTTCCGGGTGCACGGGAGGCGTGACCCCCACTTCTCTCCGCACCCCCTAGCTGCTGTGGAAATGAAGGCAACTCATTTTTACCTGCGTGTCTGTGGAGTGTGTGCCTGAGTAGTGCCCACAGCCCACCTAGGGACAGCAAAGGAGAAAGACCTGGAAGGGAACCCCCAGGGAATGCCCTTGCAGTTTCCCTGTGTCCTTTCTCTACTTTTGTCCCCAAAGTCTCTTCCCAGGAGGGGATGTACACCCCTCCCCGAGGTGGCTGCGCGCGCGCGCGCGCACACACACACACAGCCCCGGGGGGAAAGAGGGTTCTTCCACCACGAGAGCGTCAGGGGAAGGGAAAGGAACCGGGTGAGCGCGGAACAACTTCTTACCTAGTTCGCAGAGTCGGCTAAGGTGATGGGGGTTGCAGCACACCAGCTCGGGGTTGATCTTCCCGTAAGATTCACAGCAACACAGCCTCTTGACTTCCGAGGAATGCCTGAGATCCGGCCACCTGAACACTTTGCACAGCAGGAGGGGGAGCGAGTAGGACGAGGGCGGCTGCGCGGGCTGCGAGCCGGCGGGCGCCCCCAGGCCCAGCCTGCAGTCCAGGCGGCCGGGCAGCAGGAGGCACGCGGTGCGCGTACCGCCGCGGGACTCCACGGCCTGGAGCAGCAGCTCCAACTGCCGTTCCTTCAGTTTCTTGAGCACCGAGTGCGTGAGCGCCTTCAGATCCGCCTCGGCGCCCCCGGCCGCGCCGGCGCCCGTGGCTGGGGGGTGGGGATGGTGGTGACCTTTGGCACCTCGGACCGCCTTGCCCAGGCAGCAGCCAGCCCTGCCCGAGCCGCCGCCACCGGCCCCATGCGCCCGGCCGTCCGTCGCCCCTTCTCCCCGCAGCTCGCCTCCTCCTCCGCCTCCCCCCGCGCCCTCCTCCTCGTCCTCGCCGCCGGGCGCACGGCTCCTCCAGAGACGCCGGACGAGCGCAGATCGTTTGGTCCTGAACATGCGGGGCGAGGAGGCGAGGAGAAAAGTCGTTTGCCGGCTAAGGAGCGAACATGACCTCCGCACACCATGAAGAAGTCGGGCGCCGAGTTGGGGCAGCAGGCGCAGGCGACAGCAGCAGCAGCAGGGGCCCGGGCAGGAGCGGCGGCGGCCCGAGGGGCGCTCCGTGGCATGCGCCAGTCTCCCGGAGGCCGGGGCGCGCGCGGGGGCCCGGGGGCGCCCGCCGGGGCTCGGGGGCCTGCGCTCTGGCTGCCCCACCCCGCGCGGCCCGCGCCGTGCGCGGCTCTCGGGCCCCGGCGCACCCCGGAGGAACGCGGCCGCCGCTTCCCTGCGGGCGGCGAAGCCTACCCCGGTCGGCGCCTCCCAAAAAAGAGGCCCCCCCGCAGCGGCTCCCGAGTGTCGGGCTCGCCAGCCTCGGCTTCCTACATGGAAGATCCGCGGGGGCAAAAAACGAAAGGCGTTCGGCTGGGCTGCTGGAGGGAGGAAAAAGCCTCTTTCCCCCTTGCTAAGCAACTTAATTTGGGGGTGGGGAGAACAAGCAATTAAAAAAAAAAAAAGCAGGCACGCGATTTATTTTTTTTCCTCTATATCCTTAGTAACCGGATCTCCTCGAATTCCGTGCACACGAAGACTCGGGGGAGGGGGCCGAGTGGACTTCACCCCGCATGAGATGTTAAGACAGCTCTCAAAAATCTAAGAACCAAATATGCAAAGCCCAACATTCAAAAACACCACCTCCTCGCACCCCCGGAGGTCTGGGGGTGTCCGGCTGGACCTGGGGTTTAAAAAAAGAAAATGTTTACAAAGTAGAACAAGACGTTCGAGGGGTGGAAAAAAACGTATCCACGAGTTACATCCCCCTTTTTTCCTTGCAGAGCCCCGCTGGTCTTCCTCTCCTTTTCTTCTGCCAAGGAAAAAAAATCGTATATTTTTTTAATCCACAGAAAGCTCTGGCTAGGCTGCTTCAATCCTCGGCATCTGGGTGTTTTAGGGGAGTCTGGTCTTTCCTCCTGCGCTCCCGGGGGCCCCGGTCCTCGGCGGGGACTTCCTCGGGGCTGGCGGGGGCGCAGGGGCAGAAGATGCTGCGGCGGCGGCTGCGCCCGGCGGGGCTGACAGCGCGGGGGAGGGCGGCGCGGCGGCGGCGGCGGGCCCCTGGCGGGTCGCGCGCTCTCGCCCTCCTGGGCGCAAGCTGCTCACTAATGCGGGGGCCGCCGGCGCCCCCTCCCCTGGCCGCGGCTGGCCGCCGGGATTCCCCGCAGGAGCTGCTCGCCGCGACCCAGCTGCGGCGGCAAAGGAGGCCCGGGTGTCCTCACGCCGCCTCCTCCACCGAGACTCTCCTCGTCGCGCCCGGGAGCCTCCTTGTCCCCCGTCCGCCCTCTCCTGGCGCTCGGGTCCTTCTGCCGCCGCCGAGGGCTCGCCGCGCCGCCCTCAGGGTCTCCCGGGCCGGACGCTCGGCAGCTCGGCGCCGGCGGGCTGGCTCTGTCTCCGGCAGCTCTCTCCCGCGCGGCGAGCGGACCGAGCACGGCGCCCGGCTGGCTCGGCTGGCGCGGCTCGGGGACTGTGTGCTCCGTGCGCCGAGCGAGTGAGCGAGTGTGCCCACGGCTCGCCGCCTCCCTCAAGGCCTCCCGCCCCCGCCCCCTTCCCTCCCCCTTCCACCCCCTTCGCTCCCCCCCCCCCCCCCCCCCCCCCCCCCCCCCCGCCTCGGGCCCTCTGCTCTGCTGGTTCCACTGCGCAGTGGCGCGCCCGGCTCCGGCCTCGTCACGTGGCCGTCTAGACACCCTGTCGCTTTAAAAAAAAAAAAAAAGGCGATTGTGTTTCGCAAACAACAGATCGGGTTTCTAAAAGCTATTTCTCCCCCCGCCCCCCCCGCCACCGCCACCCCCTCCCGGGTCTGCAGATGGGGGACCCCTGGGAAGGGGGGAGGCGGGTAAAGGTGGGGAGCTGAGCAGCTCCCAGAATCGACTGAGACCTGGCAGATCGGAGGAGAAATAGGAAGACCCAAAAGCGCCGAGCGGGCTTTGCCGGCGGGTTTTGGAGCGGAACGAAGCGGTCGGTGGCCCGATTTAGACCCAGCCCCGGCCGCTTCGCAGTGGCTGTCCCGCGCGCGCTCGCCGTAGCGCTTCATTCATTCGTTTTGTTTTAGAGGCCCTGGCGGCGGATCCCCTGGCCGCGCGGGAGGAAAGGGGGAGGAGAGCGCTGTCTCCGTTTAAAAGACATTTACACCGGACTGGACCGAGGCCCTGGGAAGTGTGCGCTGGAGGGAACAGCCGGGCCGCCGAGGGCGGGGAGGCGGCGCGAATGTGACCTCAGCGGCGGCCGCGCGCTCCCTCCCGCCCTCTCCCGCTCCGGGCTCGGGTTTCTAGGACTGCCTGGAGAAGTGTGTCTTGTGCACAGCTCTGGAATGCATTTGGCCGGCTGACGAGCTGCGAGGGGCAGCATCCTGGCGCGAGAAGGGGCGGGGGCGGGGGGGCGGTGGCGCTCGGGCCCGCCGCCGGCAGGTTTCCTCCGGAGCCCGGAAGACCTCCGGCACCCCGCCTCCCGGCGCGCGAAGGTTACCTTTCCGTGCAGACCTGCCTAGGGCATGCATATGCATGCACGGCCTGTTTCTGCGCCCTTCTCGGCCCCGTAGCCTTCAAGGTGCTTAGGGTCATAGAGTTTATCCGCTGACCCCGGGTTCGGCAGAAGGCTACACTCAGCTGGCAGGTTACTTCAAGGAAGTGGGTCAGGCCCTCGGTAGGGCACAGGACCAAAATGCGTTTATTTCGTGAAAGCTGATGGTCCTGAGAGACGAAATGATTTAAATATATACACATCACTATTGAGGCCACTCGTTGGCATGGTGATCCAACCTCACAAATTAGTCAGTGAAATAAAAAATTTTTAAAGTCATTTGCAATTGTGATATCAGGACAATAATGAAACTCATGGAGATGAGATGAACGATGAATCTTTATAACAGGTGAAATGTACTATTTTCATTGTCCCAGCTAAGTTATACGTTCTTGGAAAAGGGACGGATGAATCTTGGCTTTACAGCCCCCTCCCCTCCAGCAACTTCAGAGGCTATGACTTAACAGTACATGCTTAATAAACACTTAGGAACTCAATGGAGGACTTCGCAAAGGGGCATTTGGATCACTGCCTCCAAACCTAACAAAAGCACCTTGGAGGTAAAAATGTGAGAGAAAATCAGCAACATTGATTACATGATCATCTCCAGGCGAGGGAGCCCTGAAGCTTATTGACAATAAGACACGGGGTGCCAAACAGGGCAGAAATGTGTGTAGGACAGGGCAGAGGCGGGCATTCTAAATATTGACTTTGTAAGGCCACATAGCTGCAATTGTATAAGGTCATAATTTTGTTGTAAATAAAAATGTTGCCTATTGAAAATGGCATTGAGACTGTGTGTGTGTTGAGAGCGGGGAGGCTTTGTAAAGAAGCACCCTGCAAAGACAGCAGCCAAGAAAGCCTAGGAGGAAATGGCCGGAGGGGAGGTTTGGCTCTGGGTGATCCCATCATCATAGGTGGGAAAGACAAAAGAGACAGAAGTAAGATTTCTGGGAAATGTATAATATGCTCACCTTAGAAAGGCTTATTAAGAATCCCAGACTGGAAGTCAGAAAACCTGATTCCAGGCTGGGGCTCTGCCCTCACCGGTGAAATAACTTGCACCAGTGGGGATCCTCACTTGGCAGGGATTAAAGAGCTTTCTGGGCCAGTTTCCTGCCCTCTCAGGGTCCCATTCCCTCCCTCTGCTCTGGGCCTCGCTAGAAGATCTTTGCTTTTCAAGAGAGGCTAGGCGAGGCTGCAAAGTGACAAGACATAAATAAACAGAGAAATCAAATGTCATCATTCTAATTAAGCATCTTGGCTAAATGGAGAATGTGAAGACTCTTTTAGAATAAATCTGGCCAATGGTGCTAATACTCTGTGATGAGAGGCCAGAGCACACACACAGGGCAGGTAGGCTTAGTGGGTGTCTCGGGAGCCGAATCTGACGTCACGGCTTGTCTGAGTAGAACATGCATATACTTGCAGAGCTATGTTCCCATATAGTGTAATTGTGGGTGTTTTCATTCAGGCGTCACCTCTATCTTACCCTCTGTACATGGCTTTCCTCCATTTTACTACCCTAGGTAGATGATGGGTGGGGTGCTTGGCAAGTCGCTACAATGATTGGTGCTGCTTTATGGCTCCCTGGCATCCCCTGAATCAGTTAACATCCCGAGCTTTCCTGAGAGCCAGCCCCACCCCACTGCATTCTTGTTCCTTTCCTTTCCAAGAAAGAAGCCGGGGCCGTGGAGGAACTCCTGGCTGGCTGGTGTGCCTAGAAAGGGAGTTCCTTTCCTTTCCACGGGCGCAAATGAGACTGACAAGCACCCCGTTTCAAACTATTCTGATCCTTCAAAAAAAAAAAAAAAAAAAGTTTAGAAGTTCACCAAACTATTGTGAATGAGTTTGATTCTAATCACTTGCTGGCAGGGAATATGGAATAAAATCTCTCATTTGCAGTTGTTTATTTCCTGTTGTGGCTTCTATTTTCATCTTTTAGTCACTTTGGTGATAGTAATCAAACCCTAATCATGGTGCAGCCACAAGTCACAGAGACCAAAATAACTTGCAGCAGAGTTCTGACAAACAAGGATGGAGTCAGCTAAAGACCTGGCTACTTAATCACTGGCCACTGGCCCCCGGAGGCCTGCGGGGGGCTGCCACTTGACTGAGTGCCGGCTAAGCATCTAGAGGCGGGAGGAAGCCGGAGGGAAGCGGCTCCAAGTCCCCTGGACTCTGAGCAGTCAGGGCCCCAGAGTGCATGAGGAGAAGCAGGTGGACCCTCCACAGCTGTCAGGGAGGGAAAGAGGGAGCGAGAGATCATCTGCAAACTCCACACCTACAAGCAACCCTCAGCTAAAGCCAAAAGACTGCTGCCTGAGGAAGCCAGGCTTCTTCCTTTCGGTCCTTTTCTCCTTTCCAGGCGTTCCGGGAAGAGAGGGGCAGAGAGGCCCCAAAGCACATGTGGGTGGGTGTGTGCTGGTAGGGGTGAGGCAGGGCCTCGCAGAAGCCAAAAGAAGAAACCATTGAAGAGGCCAAAAAAGTGTTGGAAAATATCGACATTTCTTGCACAACCGTCCCCTGCAAAATGTGTGAGT